TTTTAGAACTATACCTTAAGAAACCAGAAACACCAATCAGAAAGAATATATGCACCTCTATGTTCATAATAGTGCAATTTACAATGGCTAAGATTTGGAAATAGTCCAAGTGCATACCTGCAGATGAGTGATAAAAATATGTATATATCTATACAATGGAATACTATGCAGCTGTAAAAAAGAAAGACCTCATCATTTGCAACAGCATGGATGGACCTAGAGAGCACTATGCTAAGCGAAATAAGCCAGTCAGAGAAAGAAAAGTATCACATGATCTCACTCATATGTGGAATCTAATGAACAAAATTAACTGATGAACAAAGTAGATCCATAGACATAGAAGCATGGAACAGACTGATGAATTTCAGAGGGAAGGCAGAGGTTGGGGGTGAATGGAGAGTGATTAACCAGGGAACTTATGAGAGACCCAGTGCACTAATTCATGCATAGGTGTGGTCTGGCTGGCCTGCCCCAATTGGGGCCAATCCGGCCTGCCACAGAGAGGGGATGTAGAAGGTTGGCTGGCCCCACCCCTGACCAAGGGTGGGGCTGGCTAGGGGGAGAGGCCATATGTCCTGGCCCCTTAATGGAACTCTTGGTCAAACTCCCAGTTGAACAGGCAATTTGCATCTTAGCCTTTAATTATATAGGATAGGCATAGCCCATGGGCACAGACAATAGATTGGTGAAGGCCTGGGGGTGGGGTGAGGGTGGAGTGGAGGGATTCAATGGGAAAAACAAACACAAACAAACAAACAAATGGGACATCTGCAATACTTTCAACAGTTAAAAAAAGAAGAAAAAGAAACATCAATTATGAGAAAGAATTATTGATCAATTGCCTCCTTTGGGGGGAGCCCACAACCCAGGCATTCTGGAACTGAACAGAAAGCTCCTGGTTCATAGGTCCAAGCTCAACCACTGAGGCACACCCGCCAGGCCTAACCATAACTTTTGAAGGCACCTTTAAGCTTCAGATAAGAACTGTCACCAAAACCGGTTTGGCTCAGTGGATAGAGTGTTGGTCTGTGGACTGAAGGGTTCCGGGTTCGATTCCAGTCAAGGGCATGTACATTGGTTGTGGGCACATCCCCGGTAGTGGGTGAGCAGGAGGCAGCTGATGGATGTTTCTCTCTTATCGATGTTTCTAGCTCTCTATCCTTCTCCCTTCCTCTCTGTAAAAAATCAATAAAATATATTTAATACATAAAATAAAATAAAAGTGGTAGGAATAACAATAACCTCCCACCTTTTGGTCTTCATAAAAAAACAAAACAAAACAAAACAAAACAAAAAAACCCACAAAAAACTTTGTCCCCCAATTCTGTGTCTGTCTTTGGTCCACAGAAGTGCACATGTTACTTTTATAATCTCCCAGCACCTGCCAGAATTCTCTATCAGGCCGTGTGATGGGAGTTATGACTGGTGGAGAGGGCACAATATCAGACCAGACCCCGGAGGCACCAGGGATCCACAGACTTCCACAAATTCCACAAATGGTTCCCACCTGAACTTGTATGCAGACTCAATAAATAATTCAAATAATTTTGACCTTAAGAAAGTGAGTTTTCATTTTTTAACATTATTTCCCTCTTTACATACACATATCTGAGTGCATATGTGTATACTGAACTATTTGAAAGTTGCAGATATTATAACACTTCACCCCTAAATAGTATGCTTGCACCTCCCCCAAATAAAAACATTTACCCACAATACTAATATTACGACTAACACAGTGAATATTAATTTTTATTGTTGTTAATCCTCACCCAAGTATTTTTTCCATTGATATATGGAAAAATATATCAATGGAAAAAATTGATCTCTCTCTCTCTCTCTCTCTCTCTATATATATATATATATATATATATATAGAGAGAGAGAGAGAGAGAGAGAGAGAGAAGGGGGAGTGCAAGGGAAGGGGAGAGACACAGAGAGAGAGACATCAATGTGAAAGAGACATAGACTGGTTGCCTCCTGAACATGACCAGGGGGCGAAGGATTGAGCCTGCAACCGAGGTATGTGCCCTTGACCTGAACTGAACCCACAACCCTTCAATCCAAGGGTTGACGCCCTAACCACTGAGCCAAACCAGCTAGGGTATGAATATTAATAATGCCATATAACATAGAATTCATATTCAGTGTTTGCCTGTTTTCTCCCAAAATGCCTTTTGTAGAGGTTTTCCTTTTTAATCCAGAAGCCAATCAACTGGGGTGAAACTATGAAACCGTGTGAAAATCCTCATCCTCAACAATGTTTCACTCAGTGGTTTTGGTGATTAATGACTTTTTCTTGAATAAACTTTTACATTTTCTGACCCCTCCCCCCCATCCTCCTGCCTTTGTTAGCTGGCATTCTTTCAGCATTACCATCCACCATCTTTTTCTCTGAGTATCACTACAGATACTCAGACACCATGAACTGTTATAGTCAATGTGTTATAATCCAGAATGTGTTTTGAGGCTTCAAACACCCCAAATTTGGCCAATGACGACCCTTCAAGGGGGTTCCTGGGTTCTCTCTAGTCTCTGGCAGGAGATGCTCCAGTGCACTGTGTACGTTCCTGCTCCAGGCTTAGAATCAGCCGCTTTTTCCAGAACCTACTTTGCTATGAATAGATCACACATCCACATCCCTCAATTCTCCAAATATCCATGAAGTATACAGTACTATCTCCCTCCAACTCCACCTCGCGCTTCATAGACAATAATATTAGTTTTGTGTACATCTTCCCAGAGAGTTTATATAATAAATCAAAGGCACAGATAACTATTCATACCATCTCCCCATGTTTTAACTCCAATGATAGCATATTACACTCACTGTATTTGTCTATACTTGTAGCTCTTGTCTGTCCTCAGATTCTGAAAGATGCCTATGATCCCAGCCCAAAAAGATTATGAACCTTTAGGCTAAGTCTTTTTTTTTTTTTTTTAAATTATTTTTATTGCTTTCAGAGAGAAAGAGAGCGGGAGAGAGAGAATTATCAATGATGAGGGAAAATCATCAATCAGCTGCCTCCTGAATGCTCTTCACTGGGGACTGAGCCAGCTACTCTGTGGATGGTTAGCTGGCATTCTGGTTCACAGGTCGACACTCAATTACTGAGCCACTCTGGCTGGGCTAGGCCAAGTCTTAAATTTTCATAGGAGAAAAGCTTGGGAAGGGTGACTTGACTAATTGCAGTGGCAACTATTAGTCCCTCTCTAGACTCCTGGACAACTCCTCATTCTTTTTTTTTTTTTTTTAAATATATATTTTATTGATTTTTTACAGAGAGGAAGGGAGAGAGATAGGTCGATGAGAGAGAAACATCGACCAGCTGCCTCCTGCACGCCCCCTACCGGGGATGTGCCTGCAACCAACGTACATGGCCCTGACCGGAATCGAACCTGGGACCTTTCAGTCTGCAGACCGACGCTCTACCACTGAGCTAAACCGGTTTCGCCCCAACTCCTCATTCTTCAAACATCAGTTCAAGCTTCCTTTCCTGAACTAGCAGCTGATGTCCCCTGACTACAAGGTTTCAGATCATGAGGCACTTCTCCTTCATGGCACATGCATAAGTCACTGTATCCAAACTCGTCTCCCGCCTCGGTGCGGGCAAGAGCCACATCTGCCTTTGTTCACGGCTGGCACCCAGTAGTTCCTCCACACACACACACACACACACACACACACACACACACGCGCGGAGTGAAACTCGAACTCGGGGTGAGTCTGGCTTCCAGTCCGCGCTTCTTCCTCCTGCAGTCCCGCCGCGGTTGGAGAAATCATTCCAAGACGTAAATAATAATAACAACAATAAAAAAAAACCTCACTAGGAAAAGCTGGGAAGTCTTTTCATTTCTACCGTTAATGGAGGACCTCAGCTGAAACTGCTCACCGCGAGGTGTGTCGACCGCGGGAGGGCGTCAATCAGGAAAATGCCCCCTTGCCCCGCAGGCGAGCGGAGGCTGCACCGAGCCGAGGCCACACGGGGTAGCGGCGCAGCTTCAATAGGAAACACGTGCAACACGGGAAAGTGGGGGTGCGCGCAGCTGCGATCCCCCAGGACCCGGGGCGAGGGAACACGGAGCCCGCCCCGCTGGGTCGGAGAAGACGGCACAGGCTTTGCCTTGGGGCCCCATCACCCAGAATTTCCCCGATTCCTGCCGGAAGAGGTTTCTCCGGCGTCCCCGGGGGAGTGAGTGGCTGCGCCCGGGGACCCACCGCATGAACCGGGCTGGGGCGGCCTGAGCCCGGAGCGCCCAGAGCACCTAGTCGTCCTTTCTCCACCGGGACGCACCTAAGGGCCGTGGGTCCCTCTCCTGGTAGCCGCCCCAGCAGCACCCAAGGGCGCTCTCCTCTCCCAAGAGCCAGAGCCGCCCCGGGGGCCACAGCGAGCGGCACCGTTACTCCGGGGAGGGCGTCGCTGGCCGGGGAGGGTGCTCGGAGGCCTGAGGAGGCGCGGCCCCGGTCGTGGCCTCGACGCTCCACCAGGATCGAGTCCGGTGACCCCTCGCCTGGGGCCGGGCGCCCTCACCCACCCGGATCGGTCCCCCCGGCCTGGATCGGTGCCCCCTGAGTTCCAGCAGAGAATGCCCCCCGGCTGTGCTAGGGCTGCCGGAGTCCGCGTTCCCTGCGGCCGGTCCCCTCCCGTCTCCCCGACGAGCGCGGCCCCGGGGTTCCTCCGAGGGCGTCGGGGCCCGGGGTGCCGCCGGGAGCACAGAGCCGGGCCCCGGGGCGCGGGGTCCCGGGAGCCTGGGAGCCGGCGAGCCCCGGGGGCGGGCGGGGAGCGCGGGCGGGCGGCGGGGCGGGCCGAGGGCGGGCGGGGGCGGGCGGCGGCTCCCGGGGCTCCGTGCCATTGGCCGCGGGGCCGGCGGCAGGAAGGGGCCGGAGAGCGCGGCCCCACCCCGCGGCCGCGGAGCCTATCGCCGGGGGCGCGGGGCGCGGATAAAGGTAGCGGCGCGGCGGCGCGGCCGGAGCTCTGCGGGCCGGGGCGCACGGAGCCATGCAGTTCCCGCACCCCGGGCCGGCGGCGGCGGGCGCCGTGGGGGTGCCGGTGCCGCTGTACGCGCCCACGCCGCTGCTGCAGCCCGCGCACCCCACGCCCTTCTACATCGAGGACATCCTGGGCCGCGGGCCCGCCGCGCCCGCCCCCGCCCCCGCGCTGCCGTCCCCCAACTCCTCCTTCACCAGCCTCGCGCCCTCCTACCGGACCCCGGTGTTCGAGCCCACGCCGGTGCACCCCCCCGCCGCCTTCCCGCACCCCTCGGCCGCCGCGCTGGCCGCCGCCGCCGCCGCCGCCGCCTACGGACCCGGCGGCTTCGGGGGCCCCCTGTACCCCTTCCCGCGGACGGTGAACGACTACACGCACGCCCTGCTCCGCCACGACCCGCTGGGTAAGGCGGCCGGGGTCACGGCGGGGCCGAGCGGCGGCGGCGAAGGCGGCGGGGAAGGCGCCGCCCGGCAGGTGGCAGCGCCCCGGCGGCGGCGGGGGCGGCGATAGAAAGTTGCGGCCAAAGGCGATCGGGTCGGGGAGCGGCTCCGCGGGCGCCCGCGGGGCCGGGGAGACGCGGGCGGCGGCGGGAGGGACCGCACCGTGACTCAGATTGGTTTTCCGGGACCTCCCGGCCGGCCGGGGTGCGACTTCGGGCGCTGCCGCCGGGCGATCTGGCAGCCGGAGGCCGTGGTGGGGCGCGCGCGCCGCCTGGGGAGGGGGTCCCCTGGGCTGGAGGGCCGGGGAGGGAGCGCCCAGGCGGGGGGTCGGGGGTCCCCTGGGCTGGAGGGCCGGGGCAGGGAGCGCCCAGGCGGGGGAAGGGGGTCCCCGTGGCTGGAGGGCCCGGGGAGGGAGCGCCCAGGCGGGGGAAGGGGGTCTCCTGGGCTGGAGGGCCGGGGGAGGGAGCGCCCAGGCGGGGGGCCGGGGGGCCGGGGGGTCCCGGTCGGCCCTCCCCGCGGGGCTGGGAGAGCCGCCGCCGCCGGGCCCGGGTGGCGGACGGGGCTGGCCCCGGTTCAAGCAGCCTGTGCAGTGAGAGAGAGCCTGACCCTTTCCGTTCATACAGGAAACCTTGAGCTCTCGATAGGAGTAAATCTGGTTTCAGAAAGCTGTTAAGTGTTTTCCTGGCTGCGCGGAGCAGACCCTTCCCCCGGAGCCGTGCGCGCTGCTGATTACTTTATCGACATCCTCAATACAGACAAATTCAGGAAACACTCGGCTTCTGATAGCCGGGATCCGTTTTTCTGATATTGTTCATTTCCTCTGTGTGGGATGGGACTGTATGGCAGCTAAAATAACCAGTTGCTTCCTTTTTTTTTTTTTTTTTTTTTTTTTTTTGAGGCTGTTTTGCACCAAGTCTGAAGCCTGACGTAAGCAAAATCTCGAAAAACAACACACAAGACACACACACACACACACACACACACACATAAAAACAGTGCTTTTCAAAGCGTTTAGGCGCAGGCCCACAGACCCACGGACGGACGGACGGAGTGCCAAGGGCAGTGCGGACGCGTTGGGCACAGAGAATTTGCAGGGCGTGGAAGGCACCCTGGCTCCGCGCTCCCTCCCGGTGGCCCAGGGCGCCTCTGGCCCCCAAGGCCCCTGAGGCTTCTTGCCTGGGGCTCCCAGGGTTTTAAATCCCTTTGTTATTGGCAGCTTCTGAAGAGACCCCTAGAGACAACTCACATTTCCATCCATTCACATTTTAATAACCTTAGGATGGTAAGGCCTCTAGTTCAGTTCTCCATCCTCTCCTCCTTGTTAGAGAGATGGGGTGGGGGATTATATTTTAGTTCTCTCTTTTTTAAAAAAAATTATTATATCGTATTTTTTAATTTCAGCCTCGAGGGTTTGTGGGGTGCTGCGTGGCTCTGTCAGCCTGCTGTGGCGGGAGAGGTGGGGATGGGGTGGGGGGTGGCTCCCAGCCGGGCCGGGGCCGGGGTTGGGGGCGAACGTTTCGCCGCGCGCGCCCTGGGCTTCCTTGGGTGACTGCTGGGACCGCGCAGGAGGAAGCGAAGGGTTTTCGAGTTAGACCAACAGGAAACACATTGACGGAAATGTTGCCATAGCCCAGGGGGTGGCTTTAACTGGCCGCCCCCGCGGGCCGGGAGTGAAATCAAAGGAGGCCGCAGCGCCCGGGGCCCGGGGCTCCGCGGACAGACCCCGCCGTGGGCCGCGGCCACAGCCGCCTGTGTACATGGAATGGCCCGCTCCTCCCCGACAGACACTCCGAGTAGCCGGAAAGTGCAGTTCACCAAAGGGAGAGGACCTAGAGGTGCCAACAGTTGTAGTTATAAATTGGAGAGCCACTGGTTCCAGAGGGGCTTGGTATTTTCAGCTCAACCTAGAATGGGCGTCCTTTTGGCGATCAAAGGATTTGGCTGTTGGTATCCAGCTCTGGGTGTGAAGGTGGTGTGTATGTGTCTGTGATTGTTCAACGTGGTCTCTGTGTATTGCAGGGCAGGGGTGTGACTGGCTGTTGCTGTGTCTCTGGGTGTGCATGTGTATGGGTGGTCCATGTGCCGGTGAGGGTAGATGGACGCGTCTGGTGGGGTGTCCTCCTGAAATCTCCTCACCCGCTCGGCCACCCCCAGGGCCAGGTAGTTAGTTGTAGGGGCACCGGGCAGCTGCACCAGGGCGATCACTCACCACCAGCCCTCTCTCTGCCCACAGGCAAACCTCTGCTCTGGAGCCCCTTCCTGCAGAGGCCTCTGCATAAAAGGAAAGGCGGCCAGGTGAGGTTCTCCAACGACCAAACCATCGAGCTGGAGAAGAAGTTTGAGACACAGAAATACCTCTCCCCGCCTGAGAGGAAGCGTCTGGCCAAGATGCTGCAGCTTAGCGAGAGACAGGTGAGCGCGCCGGCTGCCCGGGCAGGCTCTCCTGGGGCGGGCGATGAGGGCAGAGGAGAGCCCTGGAGCCACGGTGCGCGCCTGCTCCGGAGCCTGGCTGTCCAGTGTCTGGGGCTGTTTGGTCTGCTGTGGAGCCCGGAGTCTGCCTCCTCCCCAGCACGTCCCTTGGGATCCAGGGCTGGTGACAAGTTTTCTGTCTCTTTTTTTCCTGTATAGGTCAAAACCTGGTTTCAGAATCGACGCGCTAAATGGCGGAGGCTAAAGCAGGTATGGACATGGTTCTGTTTCTATGGAAATAAATATTTTTTTTAATCAGGTTATCTCCACGCGAGGCCTGTTATATAGGTTGTATGCAGAAGTCATTTGAGAGACTATTTAACCTCTTCACCTTGATTAAAAAGGCAAATAGTCTTTGCTGAAATTCAGGATGAGTTGCTCAGGTGGCAGTAATGCTAAAAGCACCTAATGCAGTTCCTATGTCAATTATGCTTGGGTTTTCACACACTGGCTAGTAAAACTCCTGGCTAATTGTTTTATAAACCCCATATGTTGTTTATCTAATTAACGCAGGAAAGATAAAGTAATTGACAGTAAATGACTTAAGCAAGTTATCTTTGGGAGAAAATTGTTTCTCTTATTGACACAGCCATAATAAAACCAGTCAGAGCTCAAGGGTAAATATAAGGAAATAAACACCTTTAAGTCTTGTTTGCACTGTTTTTAAAGAATTAAATATCAAAGAGTTTAAAAATTATTTCCCATCTAATGCCAGCTCTTAAAAATCAATATAAAAAACATGTAAGAGAATATCCGAGCCTGTTTGGAAAGTAGCTTAAGCTTTCTAACAGTCTTTCTTCCTATGACCTTGTTACGCAATAAGTGATAAAAAAAAGTAAAGGCTAATTCAATTTTTAAAAGCTCTTAACTTAAGGCTGAAGATTTGTTTATGAAGTCCTAATCAGGATGACTTCTCCAGAGTAATCTGCAATTGATGAATTTGCCAATGTATGTGTAGTTTATAGTAAATAAAATATTTTTGAAACAATGGTACAAGTTGGGAAATTGAAAGCAGTGTGCATTTTTAAATATAGTAACCATAAAACTTTTTCATTAAAAAAAGATAGTGTTACAAAGAACATTTGGAAGCAGGAAATAAAGTTCATTTAATTATTCTAATGTGATTTAATTATTTTCAGGTTTCCCTCAATTTCTGCCCTTGTGCATATATTTGTTACATAGATCCAAGCCTGGTGAATCTATTATTCTATAGACTTGCTTAAAAAACAACAACATACTTTATAATATTTCTATATAGTGTTTACGTCCATTTTAGATAAAACACAGGATTAAAAATTTACTAGCTTATTTAATTCTTGGTCAAAAATGGTACTACAGTTTATTAGGGACTTTTAAACTAGAGATATGTAATATGGGAATATTTTAAAGAAATTTCCCTCAGATTTTAAGTTATAATTGTTTTTCTTCTCAGTTGGCAACATCCTTCCAGTTCTACATTTATTTATTTGCCATGATTTTGTAACCTGTTACACATATTTATGTATGTTTATAAACATACTCCAGAAAACAGATGAAAAACATTCAATCTAATAATTTGAAATTTTTTCCTTAATCACTATTTAGCATTCATAAAAAAAAACAACAAAAAACGTCTAGCCCTAGCCAGTTTGCCTTAGTGTTTAAAGCATTGATTCACTGACTGATGAGTCAGTCTTAGGTTTGATTCCCAGTCAAGGGCATGTATCTCTGGTTGCAGGTTCGATCCCCACTCTTTGTTGGGGTGTGTACTGGAGGCAACTGGTGTTGATCTATATCACTCACATCGGTATTTCTCTCTCTCCCTCTCTCCCCTTCCTCCCTTATACTTCCTCTCCAAAAATCAATGGGAAAAAATATCCTCAGGTGAGGATTAAAAAAATGTCTAGAAGGCCCTGTTAATTGGCCAAGTTTAACTATTTGAAGAATAATGATACTGTGTATCTGCAGTGGTCTGATTTCTCTCTCCCATCCCCCTAAACTTTTAAGAATCTTCAGATCATTAAGATTTGGGCTGGAATTAGTGTTCATTTTAAAAAAATATATATTTTATTGATTTTGTACAGAGAGGAAGGGAGAGAGATAGAGAGTTAGAAACATCGATGAGAGCGTCATCATGGATCAGCTGCCTCTTGCACACCCCTTACTGGGGCTGTGCCTGCAACCAAGGTACATGCCCTTGACCAGAATCGAACCCAGGACCTTTCAGTCCCCAAGCCGATGCTCTATCCATTGAGCCAAACCGATCTCGGCTAGTGTTCATTTTTGACTTAATACCTTTACAGTTATATTTGTGATTGGTTGTCCTTATTTGGCAAGAGTATAATCTTTCTCTGATAGGAAAAGAAGTTTTTCCAAAGTGAGAAAAAGAGTATGCCTTATATATGTAGAGCCTATAAGCTAAGAGCAAAGGATAAACTAAAAATTAAAAAGGTGGTAGAGGGCGAAAAGCCTTTGATTTATGTCTCACCTCTTTCCTATCTCACGATCCACCAATCTCCATTTCCATCCTCTTCAGGAGAACCCTCAGAGCAGTAAAAAAGAGGAACTGGAAAGTTTGGAGGATCCCTGCAGCCAGAGGCAGGACTTGCCCAGTGAACAGAACAAAGGTGCTTTGGATAGCGCTCAGTGCTCGCCTTCCCCTGCCTCCCAGGAAGACCTGGAGTCCGAGGTTTCAGAGGAGGATTCTGACCAGGAAGTGGACATCGAGGGCGATAAAGGCTATTTCAATGCTGGATGATGATCACTGACACAGGCACATTCAGAAAACGGGACTTGGGAATGATATTTGCAACAGGAAATCTCTGCAGACACCTGGCAGACTGTGTGGGAGAGGAAATCAGTTGGCTGGCATTCTGGGAAGCGAACACACTTGGTGCACTGGCTAACTAACAAGCTCACCTTGAAACCTTAATTTTGACTTAAAGCAATTTATATATTGATTTTCGTTTGTACCATAAAGGGATTTTTCACTGGTTAAATTTATCCCTTTTTAAAAAAGTAAAAATTTCCCCCCTATTTATACAAAGTAATTTTGAATATTTTGGTTGACTTTTTTAAGTTATAACTTTAAAGATTTTAATGGGACCTTCTTGAATAACTTTTCTATAATCTGTATCTTCATCCCATGTAACGGAAAACCAAAGGGTACCCCACATTCAGAGGTATGCCTTGGAAAGGGGACCCACATTTCGGGCAGCCTTGAAATATTTTAAAAGGAAACATTCTTTACTTTTATATTACGTTCTTATACCGGTGCCTTAAATCCAAAAGCGGCTCAGAGCTCATCTCTGGATGTGTGTGCCTTTTGTTAGAAAGAGATAGTTGATAATCTTAAAACGCTTGTTTTGCACTATCACTTAGTACCTGTTTGACTAAGGTGCTAAGGACAGTGCTGCCCAATTTAGGCCGAAAAACTGACTCCTTGGCGACTGATATTACTAGTAAGCCCAGGAACTAGGAATCGCAGGTTAATGAAATGTAAGTAGACTGTAGATATTGTGTTTTACATCAAACAGTGTTTATAATGTGTATATGTGTATATATAATTGTTCCACTGTAAAAAAACAAACAAACCATGGCCAAAATATTTTTTTTGGTGTTTTTTAATGAGTAACCTGCCTATAAAATAAATCGGTTGGTGAGATGACTGTCTTCGTCAGACCTCTCCTTCGGTTAGAACAAATCTGCACTCTTAACACCTGCCCGGGTGCCCTGCGGGGGTGCTGGGGTGCCAGTCTCGGTGCTGGGCACCAACCCCACCCGCCCGCGCAGGAGCCTCGGGTGCTGGGGCTCCAGCAGCCGGAGCACCCGGGGCGCGGGCTGGGCCTGGGCGGGCGCGTGGGCCCCTGGCCGGTAGGTTCGGGCCTTTTCCCAGGTGTGTGCAATGGATGGGTGTGCAATTGACGGCTGGGGCTGCGGGGGAGGCTCCGGCAGGCAGGTCGGAGCCCAGGGCGCCCCAGGAGGCGGCGGGGACTCCGCAGAGTCCCATTGATTCGCCTCGGCCGCCGCCTGGCCGGGCCGCTGTCCTTGACCAACGTGAGTCAACACTGCGCCCTCCCCTGGCTGCCCAGCGGGGCTGGGGGGCCGCTTAGCCAGGGAATGGGGGCCCTGGCCGGAAGGAGCGGGTGGCTGTGCCGCTAGGACAGCAGTCCCCATGCCTCCGGGAACTGCAGAGTCACCTGCGGAGCTTGCTGGAACTCCCGCCGGACCGGCGTTCCTGATTTGTTGGAGTGACAGGGAAGGTGCGTTTCTAACAAGTGCTCAGGTGAGGTCAAAGTTGCTGGTGGGGGACCAAGCTTTGAGGACCCCTGTTCTTAGTGGGCTAGAATTTCCCCCTCCCTCCCCACCGCTCACTCCTCCTTCACCTGCTTAGAGAAGGGAAGGGGCAAGTGGGGAAGTAGGGCCTATCCGAATTTGACGGTTGAGGGGAGGGAGCAGGGTCAAGGAAGGGGTGTTGTGACATAGGGAGGATGAAAGTGCTGACAGAGGGGGTGAGGACGAGAGAAAGGGTGGGCTGGGTTTCCGATCGGCCTAGGGTATTGCTGTTCTGCATCTAGCTGCTTGCCTGATGGTCCAGGAAAAAGAGGAGAGTGACCTGTAGAAGGAGAAGCCCAGAAATCTCTTCTAACCTATGCCTCCAGGGGGGCCTCCAGATGCTGTGCGGCGGGGTGCCTCCTGGCAGAGGTTCTGTGCAGGTGGCTGCCCAGCGCTTGGCTCCCCAGATGTGGGCCCTCAGGTGAAGACAGAGTGAAAAAAGTCACAGCTCTTGGGGGGTTGTTGCATCCTTGGAATGGGCTGGAATTGCCTGTGAATTCAGATGAGTGCCGCCACCTTAGGCAGGGCGCGGTGCATAGGCCTGGAAGCGTATAGATCTTTCCAACTCAGTATAGATCTGAGTTGAAGCTTTAGCTCTTGCTGAAACCGGTTTGGCTCAGTGGATAGAGTGTTGGTCTGCAGACTGAGAGGTCCCAGGTTCCATTCCGGTCAAGGGCATGTACATTGGTTGCCTGCACATCCCTGGTGGGGGCTGTGCAGGAGGCAGCTGGTCATGTTTCTCTTTGTTTCTCTCTCATCGACGTTTCTAGCTCACTATCCCTCCCCCTTCCTCCCTATAAAAGAAATCAATTTATATATATATATATATATATATATATATATATATATATATATATTATTTTTTTTTAAAGAAGTTTTAGCTCTTGGCCTCATTCTCTATCTGTAGGATGAACACAGCCTGCCCGATCTACACCTTCCCTTCCAGCCCCCCAATTCCCAACTCAGTTCAAGGTCTTTTTATGGCTTCTTCTGTTCTGGGTCTCTCCTCCTTGCTGGCACCCAAAGGAGACACCCAGTGGGAAGGTCTCCTTTTCCATCAGATGCCGCTGACTCCGCACACCCTGACCCAGCCTGACAGGTTACATCAGGGTTCCAAAGGTTGTGATCAATCTCCTTTGAAAACGGGGACTGTATCAGAGTCTGAGAGAATGGGAGGCTTGTGGGCCTAATATTGAATTAAAGCAAATCCTGAAATCTGTGTGTGTGTGTTTCGCTCCTGGAGATAACCTCTGGTTAATGTTTATTCTTGAGAATAACTGTATCATGACTGTCACGCTGAGAAGTACAGGCTTCTGTGCTGATGGCACCGGGAAAGTTGAGGGGTGAAGTCTTGTTTTAAAGGAGAGGATTCCTGAAACCCGGGCAGTACTCCAACTTAAAGCCATTCCCATCTCACTTCAAGTTGCTCATATTCTGAATCTAAACATGTCCTTAAGAACCAAGAGCGTGTTCGCTGAAGAAGCACAGTGTTCTTAGGACACAGGTTGGCATTAACTGCTCTCTACAGTGCCCCGCTGCAGATTGCCAGCGAATATTTACAAATTCTTCCTACAATCCAGGCATTTTTCATTTGTTTGCCTTTTGGCTATTTCATGTGGAAGCGGCATGTATGACCTTTACAGCACAGCTCCTGTCTTGTTTTTAACTCTTTTTATCAGGAGATTCAACTCGAAAACGGTTATCATTTAGCAGAAAGACAAACAGAAAAGCACATTTTTGTAAGCAAAACGTTAATGATTGGAAGAATTGCCCTAATTTCACCGTGGCAGTGTGTGATTAATCCCCTGGGTCGTGTACTTATATTTTAAGTTATTCAGTTCGTTGGTCTTTGATATTCAGAACCCTTTCTAACTTAATAGGATATTGATTTTGTTGGATGATGTACTTTGACTCTTTAAACAACATCATTTTGAGGGATGACTAGCCTCTTGGGTAGTATTTTATTTAGAGAACTATTGCATAAGGCTTCTTTTCTCTTAGTTTTTATGGTTTTCTCAGGGGAAAGCTGATAAGACATCTTGTGGGAAAAGAGGAAACCATCCCTGAAGTGAAAGTACCTATTCTCTTTCAGAAATGTGTGTGTCTGTGGTTTCATTGCTGTGAATATTCAAGTTAATTAATGAGGGCAGGGCAGGGATTCAAGAAAATGTATATTTGGACTTGGGGGTGGGGTGGGGTGGGAAATGCATTTTGTTGGGGACAGACTGCACTTACCCAAATTCCCATTCCAGTTTATTGCCTTGTGGAAGATGACACAAACTCAAAAGCTCACTTTTTAATTTTACTTTAAAACCTAATAATGATTCTTGAAACCTGTGGTTGGAGGTGATATATATATATATATATGTGACTGCTGACAGCATGGGACAGAGTGGAGAAAACCAAGCAGTCACGCAGGATGCTTCTACATGGCTAGGAGTTCTGTATCTTGTAGAAAAAATAAGGTTAGCATTCACTTTTCATCCCTTTGACTTTCATGCCATTCCAGCTGGACTCTGTACTTTTCTAATCCAATTTTGTCTCTGGATACTTTTTTTTTCTTTGTATTGCTGTTGAGTTCAGATGAGAAGCAATTTTGAAATCCTCTCCTCACCCCCATTCACCAAAATATCTAGAACCAGGGTCTGTGGAACAGCAGCTATCCCTTCAGATGGGGCGGTGGGGAACCCTCTCTCAGGAACTGCACCTTTGTGGAGAAGAGCGGGGCTGAAAGTAAGGCAAACCAGCACCCCTCTTGCTGGTTGGGGGCTTTAGGAAACATAATTCTCATCCTCAGTTCTTCAGTTCCTTAGAGAGGTGGGTGGCTCAGCTGAGAGGAGGTATCAATACCTGGCACACAGTAGGTTCCAAGTGTTAGCCAGAAAAACTAGAAATTGCCCCCCACCCCCATTCCCTTCTTTTGGTTCCCAGTTGCAGGCGGGAAGCCTCCTCAGTCAGATGTACACAGATCTCCGCAGACAATAGAGAGGGCTTGGGGAGGAGACCTTGGAGCTGGCAAAGGCATTTCCTGTCTGCAGAGGATCTTGACTTTGGAGCATCCGGCAGTCACCATGAAGTGAACCCTATCCTGTGTAGCTACTTAAAAAAAAAAAAAAAAAGAAAACAGCCAACTGCCAATTTCAAGTGATTTTCCAGATGAAAGCCAATAAGACAACTTCTCACTTAAAAACATTTTTTTAAAGCCTGTTTCCTAACCAGTGGAGTCTTTTCTAGTTTGGAAGGGAAGTTTGGTAGCATTCAAAATCTTAAGTATTAAAGAAAATCTCATCACTTCCTAAAGACTACTATGAGATAACCCCACTCCCCCATTGGTAGATACTTGCTGGAGGAAAAATGTCAATCCAGTTAGTCGCCATGATTCTTTAAAAAAATTTTATTTTTATTTTTATGATTAAGGTGTCC